GAGCATTCCTGCCTGAACTGGAGGATATATAATCTTGGAGTCTTGGAACATTTTTAACCACTCCTGGGATCCAGAGGAAGACTGCAGCTCATCGCTCCCAACCACTGCAATCACCACTTCTGACCAGACTGCAACAGCTCTCCCACCAGCAGGTTTTTCCCCTCTCCCTTTACTTTGGACTCAAGCGGGGCCCAGGGAACACCACTTTGTTCATGCCCCAGGGTACCGGGTTATACATTTGGGTTTTGTGGGTTAAGACCAATTGTTTGTTTGTATGATTGTACTTACTGTATTATTTTAATAAATTGTTATTCTGACTTATAATCTCTCCTTTGAGTTGAGTTCATTTCCCCTGCTGGTTAACTCTTAAACCAGCACACCTGCACAATAAACATGACTGAAAATATTCTTTTGATCATCAGAACCAAGTACTTGGATTCTGTTCATTCACCTGAGGAAAGAACTGCACTACGTTTAATTAAAAAAAGACAAAACAAAACAAGGAGCTAGTCAGAATTTCAGATCATGAGAATTATGAGGTAGCAGAGGGATATGGCTAGCTACCATAAACATGTTTAACTGACATGTTAGGAAATGTTTTTACACTTTTAAATTACGCCTCTCTGTTGATCAAAGTATTCAATAGTTGTCTCAGAATCTGACAATCAGACAAAATTTTAAAAAGCGAACTGCAAGTTATTTTTAAACAAAGATACATGATTTTACAAAATGAGAAACTATCACAATGTAACGTACCTGTGATATTTTATTGTCATTTATTGCAAGGCGTTTTAGTGAAGGAAACATTTTAGTCTTGCAGCCTAGGAAAAACAGTAAATTACAAGACAACAGTGAAAACTTTAAATAAACCAAATTATAAAACTATAAATAAATCACTTTTTTTACATACCAAATCCAGCATCAGGAAAGTGTATAGAAGATATGCCAGTGTTTCTAAGTATTAGCTGTTCTAATCTGAAATTTAATAGATACGGTGATCATTGTACACGGCACAGGAAGTTTTCTTTATAAAGAAATACTAGCTAATTTTTTTTTTTTTTAATAAAGGCCTACAACTTTTGACGTGGTGCATAATCACTGACAAATGAACAGCAGCCTCACAGACAGTACCCAGGTTTCATCAGTGTTCAGGGAATAAAATTTTCAGTGAGTGAGTGCAACAATTTCAAGCTTTCAGAATGGCTCCTGGATTTAATGTGTGATTTAATGAATAAAATGTTGATTTCAATAGCTTGTGGCTATTTACAATCATGGATGCCATTTTAGTGCTCAGTGAAAGATAATAAGTCTGCAAAGTAGCAAAATGTGGTAAAATAGTTTGTTTCGTAAGTATATAATGAAAACCTAATAAGACACAGCTTAAGAATGTGTTGTTATGCAGCAAAGTAGGATTATATTAAAATAGCTCGACTAAATAATGCAGTTACTCTCCTCAAGAGGGCAAAATGCCACTACTTCAAGATCTCATAAATCTTTCATGCAACATCAATACTATCATATTTCAGTCAACAAAGACTATGGAGATGAATATCCAGGACAAAGTATTTCCAGCAAATTTGTTTACAGCTACCTGGGGAGATGTGCTATTAGATGCAGTTGATTTCCATCCAGTAACTGGTTGTCTGAAAGGTCTAACAACTTCAGGGTCTTCAGGACATTATCAGGCCTGATATATTGGAAAAAAACCCCAAACAGAAACACAGAACATTTAAAGTCATCGGCTAATGAAAACGCTAGTTTCCTAAGTATATAGTTGACTGCACATAATTGTGTACATTTATAAATGTTTTGAAGTACATCACGTGAAGTTTGCATCAATTATTTTACAGTTATGTCACAGTGGTGTGTTACAGGACTGTAACTTTATGTACAACGTAACTTTGTGGTACATCACTCACCGATGACTGACTGACTTACGTTACTCACCTTTCCAAAACTGTAATACTATTAGAAGAAAGGTACAACTCTTCAAGTGCTGGCCATCCTTGAGCACAGAGAAGAACCTGAGAGGAAAACTTTATTTAATATACAAAAATTGGGAAAAAATATTCCAGAAATTATATTTTATGCAAATTTGCTCTAAACATGATCAGAACAAGCTGTAGCTCTCAAAAACAGAGAAACAATTATTAAAGATTTTCTAGTCTTCCCTTTTGTCCAGTTGGCTCTCCAGTGCCTGAACATACCGACACAGATGATATCAAAAGGTTTCTGTGGTCACAGGACTTACAGTGCCAGGCTTGAGGCTGCCCTTGCAGCGGAGACTGTGTGACCTGGAGATGGAGTGAATTTCATTCAGAGGGCTGGAGTGACCAGGTTTTCCCTATGACTAGGTGAGGAAATGGCAGTACAAACTCTGTATACAGCATAAAACAGAGTCTTGTATGCAATTGTGAAAGTGTCAAAATGTTCAGTTTTAGCGCATGGAATTCCATAAGCACCGGAATTGACAGCTTTTCTACGGATTTGTGCCTGCATGTGGAAAATTATTCTTTTCAGTGAGTTTCTTCTGGTGTGTATTCTCCAGAGTCAAATTAAGTGTGAGCTCATCCTGCTACTCCTCCCTTGGTTAGGAAACTTACAAGGGCTCTTTCATCCATCTACATTCCTATTTGCTGCGAATTTGTACGTAATAAATTATTTTTAAGCCCCTCACCTCTTTTCAAAATGTGATTGTAACTGACTAGCAAATTCAGAGTTTTTGAGATGCAAGAACATAGACATAAAGATGCACAGTGCAATCTCCTAAAGCTTACAGGAGGTTACAAAGGTTACAAGAAGTGAAGTTCAGAGATTTGGACAATCCAATTAAATTTGTTAGGTTTATAGTTAATCCATTCTCCTACAAATGTCTACTGTCCTTGGCCATTAGAGCTGTATGAAGTCATACAGCTGGATGTATATATAACTGTCTCATTATATTTACAACACAAAGTGTTAACACTCTTCAAGAGGCAGCATATGACTTGGGGTTCAACTGCTTCACACCCAAAAATATGAAACATCATCCTGCTGCCATATCTGCAACACAAAAACTTACAAACTCAGATAAAATGACTTTTCCTTCTCCAAAGCAAGAGCAGGAAACACCAATATTTTATCTCTCTAATGTGGATAGTGTTTCTCTATGCCAACAAGACAGACCATAATAGTTATCTACTGGTAGTGAAGAAGCATGACAAGAAACCTGCAGAGTCAAGAGAAATGAGATGCATGTTCAGCAACAGAGAACCTTTGGGGGATTCTTCCACAACCATCCTGTGTTGTGATGGATGGATGGAATATAAAAACTGCACAAAACTGAAGTAAAAGAAGATTTTTCCAATAGATTGACCAAATGATTAGAAAATTGCCAAAACCAAATGACAGGTCACATCACAATTCTAAGAAACTCAACTTGCCCAATTTTCAACTATCACGGAAACAAAAGTTCACAGATCTGACACTGAATTAACACTCAGGAAAGATTGGAGGCTTATTGTGGAGAGCTGGTGGGGAGGCTGTAACAAATAGCCAGTGGAGTAGCCACTGATCATCAAAAAGTGGAAATGCAAGACCTATTACAAAAAAAATAAAGATGACAGGAAACAAGTGTCTCCGTAAGTCCATAATGCTTCTGTATTTTTACTCTCTTTATCCCAAGAAGCAAAAAATATAAATGGGAAAGGTACAAAGAAGCTAAACAAAAATCAAAGCTATGAAACAGAGAATAGTTGTTCTCAGTTACTGCCACATAAAAGATTGGGACTTATTACATGAAATTTTTAGGCAGCAATATCAAAAACCAAAAAGGGTTAAGTTGAATGTTAAAAGATGTGGATAGCAAAATTTTCAAATGGGTTCTTAATACAGTTAGATAAATCATGGAACAACAAATCCACAAAGGTTAATTAAATAAAGATACATAATCTCAAGCTCATAAAGACACACAATTCCAGATTACAAGAAGCTCTTACCATATGCTTACCCTTTGCCTAGAATTTTTCCCAACTACCTGCTACTTGCTAGTGTCAGAAACATGATCCTGCACTTCTGTTCTAACCCAGATTTTTCTTTTACCCTGTATAATAGTAGATTATATTATGAATGTAAGATCTTAGTTTGAAAACTGAATGACATATATAACATTATTTAAATCCTGAATAAGAAAAAATGGTTTTAGAACCACAAATATGAATTCTTTGCACTCAAATGCATAAATTCCATTTCTAAGTCAATGGTTGCTAACTTTAGGATATTTTACAGGACATTTTTCCTTCTTGAAGATTATATGTTATGTTTTGAACAATCAATTAACAATTATACAGTAATAAGCTCTTTTACTGATATAGAAATCTCAGATGTATTTAGATATATGCAAATAACACACTAATGAAAGAACTTTTTTGAAAACTGATGTTCAAGGCATGTAAACGTGGAGCTATGTATAATTGCATAACAGTTAAGCATATCCCTCTACTGTAAAAAATATTTGAAAACAAAGGAACAGATAAAAAATCCCAAAACAAATTTTCTCTTTTAAGGAGAATGCCATATATTCTTACATATGACAGTAAGCTATTTTGAAATGCCGTTCACCATTAAATTGTTTTAGCTTTAATTAAAAAATTTCTAGGACTTTTAGACTTTGCTTATATTCCCATTGACAATCAGTGTATATCTTCTCTTTTTCCTGGATTATATTCATTATTATTTTCCATTTTTGACTTTTCAAGTAACTCTCCTTAGAGCTTAAGCACTGACATTTTCAAGTGGTTTGTTCACAGAGTATTGATGTCAGGTAGTTCCCTTTATTTTTTCCCTTTTGTTTGACTACCCTGAAACAGCACTTTTAGGCACAGGCTTATGTCTCCTGGCTTATGTCTCCCAGCTTATAAGGGAATGAATTGGAATAAATTTCAAATTTATAAAAGAGATTTCTGAACCAAAAATGTCTTTACAGCAATGATGAATCGTCAGCTAGAGCAGAGTTTCAACAAAAAATGCAAAACCTACATAATTTTAAATTGCTCTGACTAACCCGAGGCTTCTCTCTGAAATTTAGTTATCCCTAGAGAAGTCTAATCTGCCTTCAGCAATGGCTCCAACCAGCCTTTTGGTCATCTGGGATGGAGGAAAGCTGCTGGCAGCAGCTTTCACATTATAAACAGTACAATGCACTGATTTACTGTGATGAGCACTAGATGACATTTAAAGTGTTTGTAGCCACTTAGTTCTTCCACTCACTTCACCCTTCATATTGCCACTGTTATGGAAGGATTATCAACTGTCCTACTATAAACCCTGTGGATGCTTTAAGAGCTCAGTGAATGGACACTAAACAAAAATATAGCAGTGACCGTCTTCAAGCCCTGCTGCAAGACAGGAGAATGAAGAAGCTTCTTGCTACTCAAACCCCACTTTTACTGGATAGTGACTGGCAGCCAAAATATGAAAATTCATGTCATTTTACAATGTAGTACAACAAAAACTGCCCCTGACAAATCCAAATAATAGTCTGGAACTTACAAGCCTTTATAAGTAACGTGACACTACTGAGATGCAATTCCTAAGCCCCATCTCTGAAAAAAGGCCCACTGCTAACATATTTGACAATCAGACTTCATTCTTAATCATATCAGGGGAGAGTAATTTAAATGTTTGCATGTTTCAGCACCTGAAAGGCAGAGCTTTGTTTATTCTGTGCTCTGTGTTGCACACAACCAGGCATCAGGTATTTCAAGAACGATCAGTATGTGCAAAGATACTAAGCCAATCTCCTGTTGATGCAAAGTGATGCCAAAACAAGTATTTCTTGTCATATTGATGTATTCTCTTTCCATTTGCCTTTGTTCTGTGGCACGCATAAAAGTACAGATAACCTTCAACAGAGCTACAAGGAACCCAAAAGTTTTCACTTAGACAATTATACTCCAACTGCTTTATCTTGACTTGGCAGTTTACAGATGTAACCAACTACATAACTAATACAATTACCCCACAGCACCTTTTCTAAGGATGATTACATTTCAGTAGAATAATATAGTGCTTAAATGTTTATCGTGCTTTTGTTGCCTCAAAAACCTAATGATATTAAATAAAAACAAACCCAGGAAAGGTTATTACCTCTGTCCATGTTATTTCAGTTTGATTAAGTGCCAGAATCTTCAAATTTGAAAATGCACTGGATATAGAAGCTGATGTAGATGGAAATTTCATTTTGTTTTCACTATATAAAAAGAATAATTATTTGCATAATTAATAATTGCATTTATTTAAGTCACTAGTTTGGAATTACATACTAAAGAGAAAAAAAGTTTATACCAAAAAAATTTTAAAAATCACTGTCAAGATGTCATAGATTTTAAAATATAATAAAATATACTTCTAGCTACATTCAACCATACTCTTTCCTAGTTTACTTTTCTACTTCAGGAATGCATATTTATTCATCTGTGGTCTCTTTCTCTCCTTTTCTTCCCCTAAGTTTTGAACATGAAAAGGATGTTTTTCATTAATATTAAATGAAACAAAGTGAGATTTTTGGAATCTATCTCCTTAGTGTCAACTGAAAATAAAGAGCCAACATGACTATCCAGATGCCAGTAAAACAAAAGTATGTAAAATCCACTCTCAGTAGCAAAGTATCACTACAAAAATAAAAAAAAAGATAAAAAAGATTCTCAAATCTGCAGTCTTCAAATCATTTTTCATTATTAACCCCTAAACAGAAGTTTTTATTTCTTACCTAAGGTCTAATCCACCTGCTTGTTCTCATAAAAATCTCTCAGTGTAGTTCATACTTACTTATGGGTTAAATTTCCACATAGAGAGCTGGTAGATGGTTTATCACTTTTATTCTTCCAACATTCCACGTAAAAAAAAAAAAAATCAGTCGCAGACTTACCTTCTAAAGGTCTTTCTTTTTTAAACAAACAGAAGGTCAAAACAATAAAAAACTAATTCAGACTGTGTCAGTTTGTAGTTGTAAGCATCAGATTCCAGCATCAATCTCATTTTGTTTTATATTTCTTTTTACAAATAACTTCTGAAAACCATTCAGTCTAATCTACACTTCTCAATAATGAAAAACTGAAAAAAATATTCTGGGTGAATTAAAATAAATTCTCTGTATTCTCATGCATGCTGATAACAATAAATCATGATATGCTCTAGTAAAATTAGATTTACAAATAGTACCCAGGTTGCAAACAGCTGTTCAGTGCTAAATATCAAAGAAAATGGAACACCTCATTTTTGCAATATTAACTATAAAAATAAATAAAAAACCCTGGTGGTTTAGGCTGCTACCTATTTACAGACTTTAATCCATTGTGTTAGCTCATATCAGAAAACGATTCTGCCATGTGCCAGTTACGGTGCATAGGTGTATACTAGAAATGTTCTTTATTTTGAAATTATTTTGTGAATTCTTTCTCGTTTTGATGGAATTGCAGCTTTATTTAACAACAGCCTCCCTCCTTTTCCAGTGTCATCACTGTACAAGAGATTTCCCCCTAGATCTGTCACCATGATCCACAGTTCTTATCAGCATCATTTTAGGACAGAAAGGGGCTGGGGTTTGGGATACTTAACATTTGGTTAAAGCATTACTGATATTTCAGTTTAGTGTCAGGACACTTGGTAAACATCATTCTTAAACAAAAGTGGGCCTAAGTAAAGACTTGCCTGGGCAGTCAGAATATATCAACAATAATAAAAAACAGAGATAAAGTGTTAGGACTTTAAAGAAAATGAAAATATATTTACTTAACAGTTTTTCTATGCAGAAAAAAATTTCTAAAAATTCTCATGGAAAAAACCCAAACAGGTTTGCAAACCCAGAAGGCAAACAGACAGCTACTGCTAAACCTGATTAAAAAACACTAAGCAAGATGTTTAAGAGGTAAGGATGTGTTACTAGAGCTTCCTCAGGCAATCTGCAAACTCCTGCAGCAGTGTCATGGCAAGGTCTTGGCTTCTGAGGGGCCCATCTGCCAGTGCCGTGCAGACCCTATGCACAAGTACCCAGAGAGCACACACTGAACTTGGCTATGCCTGCTCTGAAGTTGGCCTCCTGCTTCAAACCAAGCTCCGTGCACTCCTGCAACATGGGTGCACACACATGTTAAGTCAGTTCTGCCTTGGGGGAAACTCAGCTTTAAAATCAATAGAATTAATTGTCTTAGACGTCACAAAAGTGTGTAAGGGCATCTTATGACACTGCAAACTTACGTTTCTATACTCCTTGTTTCTTCTTTTCTATAAAAGTACTTTTGAGTAACTTTTTTTACCTTCAGTCTAACTGCCCAAATCTATAATCCCTAGCCAACAAGCCAATTGGCATAAAAACGATGTAATCTCTTATGTGGACCATGTTGACAAATGCCTAGAGTCCTGTTAAGTGTTCAATGGCTGAAATATATATTCTATTTTTCAGGCAGGGGCCTCTAGTGGTCTAGTGGTTAGGGTGCAGGACTCTCACCGCTGCGACCCGGGTTCGATTCCCGGCCCCCCCGGGTAGATGGAGCTCGTCAGCCCTGTGAGGCAATCCATCTAAGAGAAGGTCACTCTAAACAAACCTACGTCCTGGGGACCTCACTGCCACTGTCCGAGTTTCACTTGGCCCCGGCAGATGAACCTCAGGATTAAAGGGTGGGCTCAGTTCAGAGTGACCTTCTCTTAGATGGATTGCCTCACAGGGCTGACGAGCTCCA